CCCCAATTGAATGCAGAAACAAACTTGCACACACTCTAACAAAAATTTGATGAATTTCATCATCCTTCTACTTGTCTGCCAAAAATGAAACATTATAAAAAATCTCTGCCTGAAACCCCCCTGGAAAAAAATTCGTGCATCCGCTTCTGTTTGGTTAGGCATGAAGAACTAGCAGAGACAGGGAATCACAGATACACGTTTGGCCCTTTGCCCCAACATTGTCTCTGAATTGTCAGCAATGGAACATTCCAGTAAACATTGGAAAATTCAATTACATATAAGCATCAGAAATGTACATGTAGACAAGAATCTTGAGACAGCGGTGCATTTTTTTTTGGCTAAATTTGACTGAGAAATTCAACTTTAAATGGCAGTGTAACGTCAGTGAATCAAAAATAATGTCAGCACTTTTTTGTCAGATGTTGTCAGTAAATATTTACACTCGCTGGCAATTAGCCCAGCTTTTAAATTTGATATATTTATCCTTCAATGTGTCAAGTTGGAAATTATGGAGGCGGTATTCGTTTTTCTTTTTCTTTTTTTTTGACTCTTGGACCCCGAGTCCGCCACTCCCACAGAGGTCAAATTCTGAAGACGCCAGAAATCAAACACACCTTTTTTGTCTTTTGCACAGTACAAGCGGGAGTGAGCGAGGTTTTGTAGCACTGAAAGAAAATGCTGAACTTACAGTGACATTTCATGGCAGACATACGTACAAGGGACACATGTACACATATACGTCATTGGCAAACTGCCCGCAATGAATCATGTGCATGGATAAGGACAGCCTACTTGTATTGATCATTTTCTGCTGGTAACTGACCCTACCGTATTTTGGCACCATAAGTTATGCCCACTTGCACATGTGCCAACTTGCCCATCGGGGTCATTGTCCACAGAATACAGAGTTTCAGGCCAAGTTCTGCCTGGACATGTTGGGGGGGGGTCGGGACGAGAGGAAGGCAGGACTGTCTGATGACTAATACTGGTACTTTACAAAGCCATTCTGCATTATCCACATGTAGGGGTGACGGCAGTAACTTTGCCAGCTGGAGTTGTTTTTTTTTTTTGGTTGTTTTTTTGTCTGACGGAGAGGCAGTTGTCTGTGAAGTGTTCACTGTTCAGTCTCCAAACCATTACCCGGGACTTTCGACTTAAGCAAACACCACTTGGAGCAGTGAATTTTTTTTTTGGGGGGGGGGAATTTTTGCAAACGGGGCAATATATTTGAGAGTCAGAAGATGTTGCTTGCATTTGTCTGTGTAATTTGCAAATGCACAGAATTTATGTTGCTTGGCCAGGCCAGCCCTTCTAGGCCTCATGAGGTTGCAAGGCTGTTCACTGTACATGTACATTCTTAGTAAGATGCATGCTTCCAAAATGTCAAGCGAACCGCAAAGATAAATATTCTTTACCCCCATATTTTTTTCCAAGAGGTATATTTGAGACGATTAGAACACATTTTAAAGTCAAATCTGGGATTTTGTATGGTTTCACTTGCCCTTGCAGTTGTCCGAAGGCTTTGAGGCATTCGGTTATTTACATGTACATGTAACAGGCTGTATTTTGACATGGTTTAAACATAGTCACCAAGGTTACTAAACATGGGCAAAGTAGCTTTACATATGAATTTGAAGTTGATTGGGAAATTGGAGGACCATCTGTTTACAGGTTCCCAGCGTTAAGTCAAGAATGTTTGTGGGAGCGAGAGAACCTTTGATTTTAAGTCCCCAGTGCATCTAGAAACCGGACCATCTGCAAGATTGACTGGGTTTTGTTTTTGGTCTATTGACACCTAGGTCCCATGGCTTCACACAACATCAAACTAACTTCACACTGCCCAAGGACGGTACCCGCATGCTTCACTGGACAGAGCCATCCATTTTGTGTTTGAAAAGGAAACTGTGCTGCTCACTGCTGCGCTGCTCATCTTAATAGCTCAGCCTTGACTAATTGGCCGTGGAACTTTGTATTAAAAGTGGCAGAAGGGCTATTCAAAGAGAACCCGAGCGGCTTTTTATGTGCGTACGTGTTAACACAGGTTTTGTTTCGTAGGCTGAGGGAGGAACTAGTTTACTTCTTAAGAAAAAAAATGCAACTTGACTTAATGGTTTTTTTCCCTTTTCATGTGTGCATCAGGTCTGCCTACATCTCGTACGGAGGGCTGTTGATGAGATTACAGGGGGACGCTAATAACCTACACGGCGTGGAGCAAGACATGCACGTCTACCTCCTCATGAAGAAGCTTGCATTCTGAAATCCTGACATCCCCCCGCCCCTCCCCCCTTCAATCAGAGGTTTACTTTTTCTGCCTCCTACGGGCAATTTGCAGTACAGTGCGACTCCCAGAGGTTGCCATGGGAAGGCCAGTTTTGGCAGTGCTTTGTGGGAAATGGTTGACAAATTCTACTTGCTGGCCGTGGGGGGAATTGGAATCATTCCTGATATTTGTTAAGAAGATTTGTAATCAGTTTTCGACTGAGCAAATGTAACTTATCATTTCTTTTTGTATTGCATTGAATGACCCAATCCATTAAATTTCCCAAGTTCCTTACTGGCACACGTTCCAATGATGCAAGTCGCATCACAAGGCTGCCATGATTTTATCCACCGCAAACTTAACAAATGGCCTCTCTGTGTCAATTTCTTGTTGGAGCACTGTATTGTGAATTGCCCGTGTTGTTTCAGACATTTTCTCAAAACTTTAAAAAGGATTCAGGAATAGTGTTACTGTTAAACCCCGGAAAAGGTTGACTGTCTTATTGGAGGGCAGGGTTACATATTATTTAAATTCTGCAGTAAGTGGAATACGTTTTTTGTTTGGAAGAGTCATTTCTGACTGGCTCAACCTCCCCTTCCCGTATTAGTTTTATTACATTACTTTGTACTTTTAGTTCCCATGGCAACAGTACATGACAAAAGGAAATCATTTGTTGATGATCCTGCGCTGAATGAATTTTCCCCAAATAGTTTATGTCATTCCACATCAAAATGTTGACACAGGCCAAGTTCTTAGAGGTGTAGATCTCCAACTACATGTATATAGCATTTTAATGATGTAAATAACACTGAACAAAACAAGTCCTTTTCTGTAAATTGTTTGTCCCATTTGTGGTAAGAACCTCAGAGGATCCGAAAAAAGATGTTTCCCTCTTCAAAACGATTGTACATTTAAGCGTGAATTATTTGTAAGAGGACATTTTATTTGTTATTGTGATTTGTTAAAATATATGTTCAACTTAGCGGGAAAAAAGAAGCCAGACGACCAGCAACTCCAAACCATTTCTACTTTTGTGACATCAAAAAGCTACTTTAAAGTCGACAAAAAAATTAAACGTACTTTTCCCGCTCCTATTTTGAAGAGTCTATACAAGTTTGTGTGCTTTTGTTCCTGTCTATTTTCTAGGTCTGGTAATTTTTTTATGCGTGTGATACGAATGGCATACTGAAGTGTTCTGTTGTGTCATTGTGGAATTTTTTGCTTGAAGGAGAGACATGATATTCAGCGGCTCAACAGGTCATGGCCGTTAAGACCCATTTTATTTTAATGCCGACTTCTGCCGGTTTAATGCGGTTGTAAAAAAAATGCACGTGAAGTTTGTGCACCTGTTAGTTTTTGCCGTGGCAAATTGCCCACTTGTCAGATGATCCCAGTTTCACGTGACCTCGCCAAATGTAAATGCCTGTAGATTTCCTTTTGTTAAAGGTTACCCAACTGTAAACAAAAAATACCTGAGTACATGTGATTGATTTTTCGAGATCGACTGTTTGTCAGTTTTAAATTGAAGTAAGAAGCAAATACTATGAGAAAAAACTTCAGTGGCTCTGTAATGAAATGAGAATGTGTTAATCGAGTCAGGAAAAAGTATTCAGAAGGTTCTGCCAACACATTTATCTGATTGCTTCAGATTGGTAGGGTGCATTGTGATAATAAAGAAAATGCTCATTCAAGTAAAGGGTGGATCTAACGTGTGCGTTTTGTCAAGTTGTTGGACAGTTTTAAACCCAAGTTTACATAATGGGTTTTTATTGTTGGCTTGTTATTAGTCAATTGGTCGCTGGTTAATCTGTGGAATGATTGGTTAGATATCGTAATAAGTCAATCTATTGCATAATCAGTGAATCCAGTCGGTCAATGCCACTAGTTACAGCTCATGAAGTTGAGGGGGGTGTTAAATATAGAACTCAAGAAAGGGCAAACGAAGCACCGTGAGGCCTCATAGAACCAGCATCAATGTCAGTTGCCTGGTTTAATGAGCTGTCGATTGTTTCAAAAAACTGTCTTTTTTCTGGAGATGTTCAGAACTCCAGAATACATGGTTAACTCACAGTGCGAATTTTGCACAGTTAAACCTCGTTAACAAGAGCACCACAAATACAGATTTCTGCTTAGAACAAGGAAAGTTTGGTCTCGATCCTTTGTTTTCCATTGTTTTCCTTCCTAATAATACAAGGTTCCTGTTATAACAAGTTAATTAGCCCCGAGGACCTCTTAGTAACGAGGTTTGACTAACTTTTAGCTTTCCATCGATTTGTTGTATTGTTTGAACATCGCGCGTGTCGATGACAAGTTTGGGCTTAATATGGAAGTCACGCGTCACAGGCTGTCTTGGCGGCTTTTGATGATCCCCACCCCCTACCAAATCCCATCACTGTCGGCTCCCCAGCACGCCCTATTCATCAGCAGGGCGGTCTCTTGAAACGCGATTTTTAATGTGCCTTCTTGGAAGGCGCGCGCGGGTATGCTTCTGTCTCCCCGCGGCCGCGTGCCACCCACAAGACTGAACGTCCACGACCAGTGGACCGTACTCGCGTGTCAGTTGGACAGGGGGGGGACTGGAGTATCCATGACAAGCTTAGATGAGATTTGTCGCTTTGGGGGAGAACCCTGTTTCAAGTGTTTGTCCAATCGATTGGGGGCGTTTTTTGATAGTTCATTATCCGCGTCGGCCAAATGTTATCAAGTTGTCGCTGCTGTTTTTAGCATGGAACAATTATCGTCTACATTTCTAAATACCAGCAATCATCAGCGTCAGGTTAAAGGTTTGTTGCCAAGTGTATTAGATTTAATGGTCATTAAAGGTCAGAACGGGCGCAGTCGAACCTCGTTAATAAGAGTGTTGTTTATGCAACATCCTGCTGTGGTAAAAAGGTGGACATGTTGACAGCCCCCCCCCATGTGGGCTTCAGCCTCAGCTTCAAAACAGTGACACTGGAAAAAAAAAGTAACTTTGCGGGATTTGGAGAAACTGGATGTGTATGAAAAGGGAAGTGGATAAGGGGTCCGTGATCGAGTACAAAACCTCTAACTAATCTGGTTTACAAACAGTACAGACCCGGTAATTTTGAAATGGTGTATGTAATTACAGAATTAAAATTTGGGTGCATGCCCTGAATATTCTAGGTTTGCCCAGCAAACCTTTTCAAACTAATGTGCAATCAGAATAATTGTTCACTACATTTTACTTGAAAAAATCCTGGATAATATGTCGCCATCATTTCGTATTTAATTTGTTTTCATTACAATTGTACATAGTAGTTACAAATGAAAATAAAATCAAACTTCAAATCCTCCCCCCAAAATTCCGTAATGTCACGCAAATTTGGCAAAACACCCATACTTTGAGGGCATTTGCAGCAATTTTCATTTTCATTTTACTTGAAACCGAAAATTAGGGGAGTGCTGTTTTGTTCGAGACGTATTAATGGCACTCTGGTGTCGATAAATCAGAGTTTTCATAGATTAGTTCCGCTTACCGTCATGCATCAGCACTACTCCCACACACTCTTGACGCCCGACATCTCCCTAGCAGCGGATGTACATGTACGATGATCAAAGGCATTGTCAATGGGGAGGGGGGGTCGTTAACTGCGAGTGGCGCGGCTCGGCACAATGAAATCCCACCGAATGTGAACCGTACCGGCCCGGCGCCTTGCCTCCCCCACGGTAGCTGGAAAGGTCAGCCGTGGTTAAGAAACACGGCCACCCGATAGAAGGCAGGCGGCATTCGCTGGACTTTTGTTTGGTTCTTGAAGTGGGATATATATATTTATTTTTTTCCTTTTATTCAATGGGATGTATTGACAGGCAAAGTGGGTTTTTAAAACGAACCCCCGTTCCACTGGGCGCGATTGTATTCAATTGACGAGTGTAGCGCAATGCATACCTCATCGTTGGCACTCAGGGGATTAAATTTCTTCGATGATGGGGGTACTACCCGCGCGCGCGCGGGAGTGATATTTTTCTCTGTTAGGGTGGGGAATCCAAACCGCAGTGTTGTGCCGATATTGTCCACCGAGTGGGTTTCAAGGTGGAGAAACTGTAGAGAGCGGGGCGGGGGCAAAAATGGGCGATTCTTCAGAAATTGGAAGAAACGGAAAGAGTCAGTCACAGGGAGATCCGTGGGATTGTTCGTGTAAACGGAAGTTTGGTTTGGGGGTTGTTTTTGCAACAGATTCATGTGTGAGCTTTGGGACTATTGACATGAAATTTTATCTCCATCATGCACAGGACCATTGAAACTGCCAACAAAATTATCAAAGCCACAAAATAAAACAGTTTTTCAAAGAACTGCCTTCCATTAGTGATGTTTATGATACAACTTAAATACGGACAGGAAAAAGTAAACTGCACTGGAAACTAAAATAAATGGATGGGTATAGACGCAAATAAAGTGGGCTTCACTGATAAGATATGACAAAACAAACTGAATAGGGGCAAAAGTGTTTAAAAGAAACAAGTGACGTTGTGTATACACAGAAAATGAAGAGGAACTGAACTGTACGTTTCTGGTACCCCCTACAGCTTCAGACTGTATACTTTTTTTTAAGACCACGCCCTCTAAGCCCTTCGGTATTTCCATTTCTAGCAAATATATATTGAAAGTTTACTAACACTCAAACTTATCAAAGAACGTGATTTGTTTTTTAATGAGGACAGAAAATCCCCCGAAATCTATACCCCTTTCTACTCCTCAGGGTATTGGGCACATGGCCCTTTGGATTGCCTTGTACTGTTACTGGTATCTTGGGGGGGGGGTCTTGATCTTCATTTTGAGTACAGGTATGTTTGGGGTTTTTAACTGAAAGTTTGTGTTGTGCAGTACTCTCAGTATTGTTACTTGACCGTGGGTAGTGAGTATAGATAAACGGTTCATGCCATTATACACAGGGCCCATATTGTTGTTGGTTTCACCAAACGACTTTTTTCTTTTTTTTCTTTATTTTTTAGGGGTCATGATGGTGCTTTGGGAAAAGCAAGCAGATGGAAACAATCGAACAAATAAACAGCGTGGTGTGCTGCCCTGGGATTTGCATGTACTGCAACTATGGTTGATTTGCTATCGCATGTAACGTCTTTATTGTTGGAACTAGATGTTCAGTGCAAACACAGTGATGTTGGCTGTTGTCATCAACGCAGCCAGCCTTTGGGCAATCAGTCCAGGAAATCCGCCATTTTGGGAGTGCCACAACCACCATGTACCAACGTCCATGTGCGCCTGTGCAAAAATGAAACATCCATTTCCTACGGGAACACATAGACCCATCATTCGTCCAGATTCAAATCCTTTCGCATAGATGTTAACATCATACCTAATCACTGGACCGAGCTTGCAAGGCACCTACGAAGGAAAACACAGTCCCTTCCCCTCTGTAGTATTTCCTGGTTAAACTCTGTAATTTTCAGTGGTAATTTCAGTGTCATAAAATGGCTAATAAATTTTTATGGCCCATCCTCCAAAACGCCCTCGGAAAAGATGGAGAGCGCCCTCTATTCACATGAACAAACGCCAGTTTGTAAGGCCGTGTCCGAATTACTCGGCTGTGGCTTGAAATTACACGACTTATGGAAAATGGCTGTGCCCACTATACCGTCGACTTATACGTAGTTTCAGGTCGCAGCCAAGTGATTTGCACACGGCCTACGTTCCCGTGGACTTAATCGATCATCCATGCAATCGATGCATCCTGCTGGTGCGAGTTCAGTACACTACTCGGCCACGGCCACTGGCTTGAGTACTCTGGGGCAATTGTGCCTGCTGCAGGTCCACTGTTACCTTTTCGCTCGTTTTGCGTGATCTTTCACCTCTTGTATCTTTAAATTTCACTTCAGTTTTTTTTTTTGTATCGACAACTAAAGATACGCTGAAATTAGACCCTGTAAAAGATGAGTCTTCCTCATGGAGTTGTGCGTAATTTCAAGCCGCAGTCAAGTATTTTGGACATGGGGGCGGATGCAAATCTGTTGCCTAATAAAAAATATGGAAGGGCTGCGTAGCACCGTGATCAGAATGTTGACAAGTATATAATATAAATCAGTGCTCTGGGATATGTGATAAATCAGTGCTCTGGAATATGTGATTGCCACATATTCCAGAGCACTGATTTTATATTATGTTCTAGTGCCGGGTCTGTCTTTGCCCACTGGAAATAATACGGCTGTAATAGACGTAGCCGTAGCCCATCTCCAAAACAACCATCATGAAACGTCGCGACGTTGGAGCTGGCACTTCCTTGGTGGCGCCCTACATGACAACTGAGTGAAACGACAAAAAAAAACAACAAGCGTGATAATTATGCCAAAATGGCAGCCACCATCACCGTGACTGAACCAGTTTGCGAGCAAGGCGGAAGAACCGTTTTCAGTGGGTGTAGCGATGAAGACCGGGCGTGTGCAAAGCTGTTTTGGCAGTCACTAACCCTGCAGCCGCCGATTGAGTCTCGGCTCGTGTCTGGAGATGTCAGACAGAGGCTGAAAGTTGCACCTCCGGGAAGACAACGTAGGCAGTACCACCAACATGACCAGGGCCCAGGAGGCATGCAGGGCCTGAGCCATGCCCATACTGCTGAAAGAGTTTACAATTGAATCCCAATATGAGCAGCTTTATGTTTCGTGAAGGTGTCACAGGCCTATGGTGTAAGAGGTTACCCAGGGCTCGGTATCCGGTTGCATACAGAATGTGTCATTCAAAAGAAATTATTATTTACGAGAAATTGTTTGTGTCGCCTACAGCCTAGCTCCACTGAGTGGAATTTTAGTAGTAGGACCTATTCCTCTTTTTCGATTTTGGACGGGATCGTCATACTAACGCTCCACGCCTGTACATGTAGTAAGGTGAAAACGGTTCTCAAAATTCCAAAGACTCACCAAAAATACCTCTAGGCCTATAGTATCACCACCTCCTGGTTTCAGTAAATGCCAACGTCAAACGGTTGGGGCATCAATAATATTTCTGACTTCAAAAACTGTCAAGATGGAACCGTTTTCGCTTGACACATGCACAGCACAAACTTTTCACGGCCTCCTCCCATTCAGATACGGGCATGTAGAGTTTCTGGCGCATCCTCCAAGATGTACGCATGAAAAGGCTTTATGTGGTCTGGACACAAGACTTGTTGATCGTGATGTTTGGGAGTGCTACCAACGACTGTTTCCTGGTCAATACGTCTTGTGCCCTGGCTACATATGGGCCTCCCCTGCGGTTTCCTTGGAGGACCATGTTTCCGATGCCAAGCTGGAAATACATTGTAAATTAAGCAGCCCATGTTGGAAGGATGAGTAGCCTATTTGGGAAATGAGATTGACCCATTGAAAATCAGGTTTTGAGTCTTTTAATTCTTAGGCAAGGAGAATGAACATCCCGGATTTCCATGTGGACAATTTTTAAAACCCAGGAGGCTTTTTTTTCATTGTTCATTAGTTGGTGTACATACCGCACATCGATAGCGAGTACGCTTCTGTGCAAAGGGAACCAACCTTGACAGTAGACTAGCTCTCAGTCCGTCTTGCATCACGCCATTTGTACACGGGTGCACTACGAACTCCCAATTTACTTTGCAGCCATATTTTAAACCATTCCCGACAGGAAAAAACAATATTTCTGAAATAATAATTCTTTTGAAAATAACAAAATCTTGGGCGGTTGTTTCAGCGGTATGCGGGCAGCGGACAGAAATCCTGGATATTCATTCCCATGGCCTTATCTAACTAATTCCAGCTGTACTAGGATGGTGCATCAGTGACGTCATAGGCAAGGTGCATAAGAAATAAAGGTGAAGAATAGGTGTCGGACAAACAGTGCGCATGAAAGAACTTGTGGTGCCGATTATAAGAGACTTCTTGAAGTCACAAGAAAGTATGCTCGTGCACTTGATGGATGGAACGGGTACCTCGGAGTGCTCTTACATGCACCCCTTTGCAGAGATTCGGGGTAGGCTATTGCGTGTAGTCTTTCAGAATGTTGGTAAACCAAAATTTCTTCACGACGGTCTGGGCTCCGTTTCCCCCCCCCCCATTTCTTTGGAATGACACATCCTATTCAACTGAGACCTTGATAACCTTGTAGTAGTGCCGAATGGTACATGTACCTTTCACTGAACCTCTTTCCAGTAAACATGGGCGTGCTCGTTAAATGTCGGGACTCAATTGTTGGAAAGTCTTTCACTGACATTGTCAGAATTTCAAGCATTTTGAAATGACATGGAAACATGGTGTATTATACTGCCACAGGAGAGAGTTCCACATACGGATGCCAGTGATTATTGCCTACAGTGACCTATATGTATTAGCCATCAGAACGCAAACTCTTGTCCAGAAAGTTCCAATTTGTGAGGGAAAATACCAAGTTGTTTACTGAGAAAACACAGAAATTTTTAGACCAGTGTCATAGAGTTTATTTAAGGAGGTGTCAAGTGGCGTCCGTATATGGAACGCTTTCCCTGCCACATTCATGTGCCGAGTCTAGAGTTAATTTGCGCCACGTTCAAAAACAAGCTAGACACTGATTATTTTGAGTGAGATTGTGGAGATTGAACATGCCTTTGGCATAAGTAAAAAAAAAAAAAAAAAAATTTGCAGTGATGAACTCCCCTCACCTTGGGCCCTTTGAGGGTTATGAAATTACGGCATAGGCCTAGCATTTACTAGAAAATTACTTACAGCTAGCCTGTGCCAAGTAGAATTAAGAGAAGATTCACACCCCCACAGTTGTGTGCAAAGTTTGTATAGGGCCCATTCAAAGTGAAGGCTTTTTTCATTGGAATTGAGTGAACGTGAGGCCGAGTAGTTGTTCAGAGCGTAAGCTCGAGAGTGTGTACTCATGAGAATAAATCCTGGCCACGCTGGCAATTTGCAGATTTTGTTCAACTACCCAAACAATTCTCAATATGCCTGTTCAACACAATCTTGGCTGTTGCATAGATTGATTGCACTCCCTCCTGAGTTGATTATCTTACGAACCAGTTTCACTCAAAGGTACATCAACTCGAGATGGAGTGCAGAATTTGTGCAAGGGTCAAGATTTCGCTGATCAGGCCCAAAATGTTCCTTCACTACTTTAAACTAGTGAAAGATTTGGGATCTGTCAAGAACCCACAATATTAAACTAACAACGTATTAGTTAATCATAAACATTTTAATGGTTAAAATTAACGTTTCAGTATTTTTTTCTGTTTTCCAACAGCTGTGAATCGAGCCTATGAAAAGATAGAGACTTCGCAGAGTAAGTGCCGTTTTCTAGTTTCATTCCTGAAAAGTCAAGGTCCTGACTGGCGATGAAGCTTTTTAAGACATCCATTTTGAGGAACGTCATACACTCTACTCTTTTTCAGTGCCTGAAAACAATTAAACACCCTTTCTAGGAGAGCAGATTTATCAATCCTTCTGTATGTTTTGCATACATCAATGCAACATTGAGGTTTTCTCCCTAGTATGACATCACATTTATGCTCATGAATATGGAAATTAACTGGCATTAAGCATAAAAACCCAAAACACCAGGACAGCTTTTCATGTTGCAAAACGCAAATTGAAAGTAAGGTGAATTGAAAAACACAAAGGTTCATCGACTGCATGAACAATAAATATATGTGGACGTTATAATTTGTTTGAAATCACTTAAACCTAAGCTTCGTCTTCCGTTAGACTGGAGGTGCTGGTTTATTATGCTTGTGCTCTTGCAAAATGCTAAGGTGATTGTAGGTATGGCAGTGTGGCCAACACATTTTTGATCATGATTTGTCGTCCCAAAGTCTGATTCGTTTTTTGTCGTTGACGCTCTCGCTCAGAACTTGTGGATTTCCTGGAGAGAGCTCAGGCAGAGGTGATCTATGCACAGAGCATGAAGCTGACCAAACAGGTACCAACCACCGTCAACCGCTGACATGTCATTCTGTGAGGATCTGGAAAAAGTCCCATTCTCGGCCCCCGCGACTACGGAGTGTCATGAACACCACCAAGTCTGAAAGGGGACGGGGTTTTTTTGGAGGGGTGGGAGTTCCGCAAGGAAAAGACTTCTGTACCGGGGGGAAACGGCTAAAGTACCATCTCTGACCCCTTTTTAAAACCTGCTGGTGTTTGTGAAACTCAAATATTTTGGAGGCAAAATTTGAGACTCTTCCTTAGCTTTCACATTTGGCTAGTTTTTGCATGTTGTGAAAAATTTACTGCGAAGAAAAAGAGCATAAGACTTGTGTAATTGTAGACATTGAGACAGAACTCATGGGTTAATTACCTTTGCTCTCTCAAAAGCCCCTAAGAGTGGCATTGTCGTAATCACTGTTACCACACCTGTGCTCGATGTTTTGTGGATTTCTTTACTTTCCACAATCTCTCCCCTGATTTGCATTTGAACTGATGTGAGTCTTACAGAATATGACGGCTGTTCTCGATATTCATTGACTGAATGGTCCTGAAGTTGGTCCAAAATGGGATGATTTTTTTTAACACCCCAGTGGCAAC